GATAACGTTCTTTACACTTGAATCTATGCAATATTAACCAATTGCTCAAAATGGAAAGATTCAGTCATTAAACCACGATTCTACATGTGAATAATATAATGTCAATTCAATTTTCAAATCACACGGATGCACAAGATATTGAGTAAAAATGTTCACCTTTGCATGTGCACTTCCGTTTGCATTTCTGCGATCTTGTTACAGAAAAAATGACATTTTAAGAAACAGTGTATATTTCTTCATGTTCTTATTATTTACCTCATAAAGATTCACTCGCAAATCTGTTCAAACAGCTTTAGAAATTAATACTTATTTACTTTAAAACCTGGTAACGTAAATATCGGTAACGTAAATACCTTTCTGAGATTTATCGTAACTTTTAATGCCATTGTTCAATTATTCCACTGTTAATTAAAGGCATATTCTAGTGCTTGAGTGTAAGGCAATTTGGCCCATAGGGGACAGTGTAGTTCTCTTACTTAATTTGTGAATAAATACTAACACGTAAATATCGTTGAATTTTTTAACCATTGGACTTATAAGAAAAGGGGGGCTATTGTTCATAAACACAGATAAACAGTGTCTTTTTTACCTTTCCATGCAATAGAAAGGGAGCTCATGATGTTAAAAAGTTACAACTTAGTCCTTTTGAGTTAGTTCAACATTCCTTCCAGTCCTTTTGAATTTCCAAATAGAAAAGTAATGATTTTGCGGTGACATCGAAATTTGATGAATATATTAACATTTTTAAAAATCTGTGACACGCATATGTGTGAAGGGTGTGATATTCAGAAAATATAACTCAAATGTAGGACAATCTTATTAAGAAAAAGATATGTTAATGATTTAAAAATTCTTTTTGGTTTAAAAGAAAAACTACACGATGATCGGTGACAGTAACGTAAATATCGATTTCTGCTATAAAATGTGATTTTCTCCTAAGATAATCATTCAAGCTACAACAAACAATTGTTGTATTTTAATCAACAACCAACAAAGGTTCGTAAGACTGGCAGAAAATAAAATTTATTTGAAATATTATATTACTTAAAAGTTAAAACGCGGTACATTATTTAAAGCGAATTGAGACTATAAATTGAGAATGCATGTACAGCTCATTTTACGCAAAAATAATGAAACAAAAAATTTTACCGCAACTTTCTTTAATTTTCTAGCAAAGTTGAAGGTATGACCTTTCCGAAAATTACAGGTTTTAAAAGGAAATAAATCTGGTTTAACCGTTAAAAATTTGCTGTGTGTAATAGTTTTTGACGGTCCTATAAAAACAACAAAGGTACTTCTGGCTGTTCTTCAATACCAGGTGTAGAGATCATTAATGATCTTACATGCTTCAAATTTTCAGCATCGATATCATTTTCACCATTTAATCAAATAGTGATATAATAAACACTCTCCATAAATGTGGAAATTGAGCTGTAATGTCTCTTTAATTTCCTAAATGGTAAAAAGAAACAACGAAAGATAATACTAGATATTTTTACTATATGGTGTCCGAATAGGGCCATTTGCGTTAGCGCAACGTAACATCGCGTTCAGATAAACGGGACATCGCGCTATCACACAACACGCCGTCGCACTAACGCAACTTTGCACAACACGCCGTCGCGCTAATACACAACACGCCGTCACGCTAACGCAACTTTGCACAGCGTGCCGTCGCGCAAACACACAACGTGCCGTCGCGCTAACACAACTTTGCTTGTGTGTTAGAACTTTGCACAACGCGCCGTCACGCTAACACACAAGTAAAGTTGTGTTAGCGCGACGGCACGTTGTGTGTTTACGCGACGGCACGTTGTGCAAAGTTGCGTTAGCGTGACGGCGTGTTGTGTGTTAGCGCGACAGTGCGTTGTGCAAAGTTGCGTTAGCGTGACAGCGTGTTGTGCAAAGTTATGGTATTGCGACGGTGTGTTGTGTGTGAGCGCGACGGTGTGTTGTGTGTTAGCGCGACGGCGTGTTGTACAAAGTTGCGTTAGCTCGACAGCGTGTTGTGTGTTAGTGCGATGTCTCGTTTATCTGAACGCGATGTCGTGCTAACGCAAATATGGCCCTATCCGGACACCATATTTTACACTAAAAGTTATACATGTATTTTAAAATAATAACTTTCAGTAATAATTCTTGTATAAATACAAATACCAAGAAATGTTACCAAGACCATTCTTAAGTTTATTCCTTTGTCGTATGTGGCCCCCTTTTTTCCCGCGTCCAAAAATGCTACCAATATTATTTGCCTGCAACGAAATGAAGAAATTAATTAAATGTTTTAATTGTTTTAAGGAGATACCCCTTCCTCTGATACACTCTTGGTCGTTACTCTTTTTAACAGTTTCGAAATTCCCAAATCCTCCAAATTTTTTATTATTGTGAGATCTCCCTTTCCAAACTGATGTAATGTGCAACGTGGCCGAGCTTAATTGGTGTTTGGTGATAAGTCAGATTTTTGTTGACCAAATAAAATTACAATCAAATAAATACAATAAAACAATACAATGGATCAACGGGTTTCTTCTTGATTGGATAACCACTAGCTGTGGTCAACAGGTGTCTCCCGGAAACAAATTTCTTCTTGCCCTGCCAATACGATTGCACTGCCTCTTAGCACTTCCCCCACCTCTATTCGTGGTATGCCACCTCTCTCAATATATAACCAAGTGCCTGCCTTATAATATTCAGGTCCTACATTATGGCTATCGTAATCCTCAGCTATATATGTGCCCTCCGCAACTTATTAATTCAGGTCTTACTACGTACAATATATAAGACGACACACATCTGAAATATGTACATGTATAGCTAACACCATCTCCAGAGAGGTTTCAATACAGTCACTTAATAAATACAGCGTGTATTACTCCAGAGGAGTTTATTGTACATTGGCAGATTCATACTACTTATATGATCGTAAAATCAATACTTTAAGTGTTTTAGATTTTAAACAGAAACATATACTATAGGTATAACGTTAATACGAAACAAAACAACCATATCCGTTTCACTGATATGTTTGCTGTAGGCCTGCAGCAAGTCTGCTGCAAGCTTGCAGCTAACAAAATTGTTCGCAGGAAGAAAATTTTCTTGTTCGCAGATGATTGCCGCTATAGCTGCAATCTTGCAGCAAACATTGCAGCAATTGCTGCAAGCTTGCATCAAATTCGCAGGAACCCAAAATGTTTGCAGGAACATTGCAAGAAGCATATACACACCAATATAATTTTCGCAGCAAGTTCGCTGGAAACATTGCATGATTTGAATGTTTGCAGGAAGTTTGCAAGAACAGTAAACAAGTCAAATCAGCCAATGAAATCAGACTGTACTGGGTCAACACAAAACTGGCCTTTTGAAGTGTTTAAATTGAAGTTGTACATGTTTCAGTATTTTGTTAGAAATATATACCGTTTTGAATGATCAAAAGTGCAAAACTCTGGGTGTAGGTGTTCATTGCATTGGCATCCGTGATATCTAAATGGTAAGATCTGATGTTGTTTTATTTCGATGTGGAAAAAAAATCTAAAAGCAGTTGTTTGAGTAACTGTTGTAACTGCTAGGTCAAATCTAAATCTATACATTATGAATTCAGTCCTCATTTTAATATCACATTTATGCATACTTCTTAAATGTATTAATGGACCCAAATCAGTTATATGTTTTCAAACGAATTAGTAACTGTAATCAAGGTAACATTTAATCAAAAATATATGTAAAGTTCTTAATGTTCTGCTCATATAAAAAATCTATAATGCACTTACATTTAAAAAAGGTATGGAAACTTTGTCTAGAAACATAAAGATCGAGAGCCTATCAATTGAAAACTTCTTAAAATTCAGGCACGTAGCAACAGGGGAAGGGGGGGGGGCAGGGAGGGGGGGCTGACCCCCCACTTTTTTCCCCAACATTATCTTTACTATAGAAAATATCCATTGAAGAGATGGTTGCCCCCCCCCCCCCCTTTATAATCACCGTATATTCATAGCAAAGAAAAATTATTATTATTTATTCAATTTGACAAAAACCACATGTGGCGCAAGTCATACATACAGTAAACAAATATAAAATATATAGTCACATAGATTTTCTTATATTACATGCATCACGTATGAATTTAGTTACAAATATTTCTTGCAGAATTAACATCTGCTGGATTAAGAATTTTATAAGATATACATGCATTATTAAAAAGTGTACAAAATTCACTTCCTAGTTGTTTATATAGAGGACATACAAATAAATAATGATGTTCATCTTCAACGACATTTTTACAATTAATACAAAATCTTTCATCTCTTGGTATATAATTGGGTTACAATATCTGCCAACCTCTATCTGAAATTTGTGAGCACTTATTCTCATGATCAATCGAGTCAAAAAGGAACGAAGATTCTTGGAAATGGAAAAATTTAAGTATGGTTGAATTTCCTGTTTGTTTAGATTCCCTTGACTTATTAACTGGCTGTAGAATGATAATTTGCCATTACCTTTTTCTCTGATATTTATTATATCCTTAAGAAACAATATATTCTTAAGAAACAATATTAGGAAAAAAATATTATAAATAAAAATAGGAAAAACTAGAAATTGAAAGGAAGTTGGCCTTAAAAAAGTTGGCCACTACCCCCCATCCCCTACGAAATAGGATTTTCAAGTTTGGGCAATTAATTTTTAATTTTTTTTTTTTGCTTGACAAATTTTTTAAGGTAAGAAAAAATAATTTTCTCAGGTTGCCCCTCCCCCTTCAAAAACGATGCTAAGTGAGTGTGATTTCAAAGAATTCCATTGAAATATAATTTTCTATACTTACTAGTAATTCTATTAGAGACATAATTTTTTTTTTTTTTTTAAATTGCTTTGAAATGCGGTATCTAGCATTTGCTACACAATATGCACAAATTATGCATGCAAGTTGCCAACCTCTCACCAGACGGCGTTTTACGCTCATCGCTCCAACACGATAAGCGGAGCGTGCCCTCTTGTGAGAGATTGGCCAGTTGCATGTTCGAGAATAATTTTTGGGCCGAGTTAACAACAATGAAAAAAACATGGCGGCAGAATCGCCAAAACAGAAAAAGATCAGGCTACAAAACAGGTATGACAGGTCACCAGAATGGGAAACTGTCTTCAATTTAGCATCAACTCAATTAGTTTATCCAGCGTTTGCTATTCTGCAACTTGGACCAGACTGTAATGCGAGTACGAGTGCCTTGTTTACAGATGTCAGGTGCGACTTCAGGAAAGTGGGCCCAGCAGGGAGCTCTTCTCTGTACATGATCGACTTCGATGATGTCTTCACAAAAGGGATCGATCTATTGCTGGACCTGAGAGATCAATCGCGGGAACTGAATGAGGACGAGCAAAGAGCGGTTGACATACTTCATAATTATTTTAAAGAGAAAGGTATAACAGTCTTTTTCGTCACAAACATGAGGTTTCCTGTTAGTTTTTTTTAAGAGAGAAAAATGATTAAACGTTGCTAAATTTAAGTATTATTAAAAATATATTCCTACCATAGGCACCAGATTCTGTAATGAATATTTATCCCATTAGTACAATATTATTATACTTAACCGTGGCAGTCACGCTTGTTCAATCGCTAGTGACCAAATAGTTTAGTTGGTAGAGATACAGGGGACTTGGGTTTGACCTGGCTGCTGAATTTTTTCTCTCTCCCATTACTACACAATGGGTTAAAAATTTATTACAAAAACAAATGCCTGTATGTTCTACATATTACATCATCAAACATGACAAAGAGACAGAGTCTGAGAAGACATCACAAAAAGACCTTATTTTCTTTCAAAGTCTTTGACGTGTTTATTTGTCATTATTTTCTTAAATCCTTTAATTCTGATGGTATAACATCACAAACAAAAACATTTTTAATGAATTTGATAACTTACTGGCTTATTTGGGATGTGATATTAGCCATTACCAAACTTTGTCTTTTCACAAGCCAAGTTTTTCGTATCTTAAATAATGTTCTCGGTAGCTCATTCAGTAGAGTGCTCGCTTCGAGAACTGGAGGTCATGAGTTTGAATCTCGGCCGCGACTGAGCTTAGTCAATAAAAAATGGGTAGGAACTGTTCCTTCGCCATTCGCTCGGCACTTTGAAGTGAAAGTTGTGGGTCCTTCGGATGAGACCTTAAAAACCGAGGCCCCCTGTCAGCAGCAGGTATTGCCATGATAAGGATCCCTCACTGCTCAATGGCCCGAGTGTCAAAAATTGAAGCCCTTCACTGGCATACGGTGACGTCTCCATGCAAGTGAAAAATTCTTGAGAGGGACGTGAAAAACAATATACAATATACAATCCTATCTTAAATGAAATCCTCTCTTTACTATTTCAGAATGTCACGAAAAGTGTCTAAGTCAAGTTTTGGGAGGACTTGATTCGACAGAGGAGAGGAGTCAGGAAATAGATGGACAGACCCTCGTTCTGGCTGAACATTTATTGAGGAGACTAGCACCGGGACAGTCTTGTGTAATTAACGAGCAGATAAAAGTGAAAGTCGGGGCAGGAAAATGTCAGTGTGGTCTGGATCATTGTAACAGAACACCTGCAACACCAGTATTTGAGAGCACTGGGATAGGTACATATCTGTAAAAAAAAAGTGTAAGGCAGTTTTATCGATCAGACTTTGTGTAGGAGAAAATACTAGTTAGAATGAGTGTATAGATATTCAGAAATATTAATTTAAGGTAAAATGAACTATTGTACTACTGTACAGTGCTTGGTCAGAATACTATAAAAATAAGCATTAATGTAATGTCTGTTTTATCTAAACGGTCATATGCAGCATCAGTTTCTAAATCTCTCTGTTGCATATTTTTTTTTACTGCTTATAAAGCCTCAATATTTCCATTTCTAATTTTCTTCTCTGTTATAACTCTTTGAAAGTTTTGGGAGTATATTCTTGATAATTCTGCCGGAATGTAAATTAGGCAGGTCGATAGGTCAGCAGCTAAGGAGGCATAATACGCATGCAAATCTCGTGCGAATCTGTCTCTGTGTCTGACGCTAAGGAGGTCAATTATGCATGTAAATCTCGTGCGGCTGCCTTTGTTTTTGACGTCAGTGTGCGAAGACTATTGAATTTGGCATGGAAGTGCTCGTGTAATTTAAATCGATTAGTCTACATTTTTAATGTCTAAGTCTACAATTTAATTTCACAATGAAATGGAAATATAAGGAATCATTGTCTAGTTTTGAGAATATGCCAGGGACATCAACAATAGTGGCTTCGCCCGTTATGCAAATTATCCAATGTTTCCCACTATTGTTGATGCCCTGGCATACTCTCAAAACTAGACAGTGATTCCTTAAATCACATAAAATTAAAAAATAAAATATTGTCAAGTTTAAAAATTTGAAAAATAAAATATTGTCAAGTTTAAAAATATACCTAATTGTGCATGATAATGAGATGACTTGAAACTTTAATTAACAAAACTCCCCCATTTATCAGGTGTTCATATCTATGCTATGATGATAGCTAAATTCCTTGGTGAGTTTTGTGTATTATATTTCTCTGTTTCTTCCAGGAGAGGAATCAGCCTGGCACGGTTTTCCAGACATCATATGCTCTTCACAGTCAGCTGCTGTTGTATCTAGAAGTGAATCACAGGGTACGTTGAGACTCTGAAAAAATCAAATGACGAAGTAACCCTTCACACGAGTATTGAATAATATATTAAATTCTTTTTTTAAAGGTGGGTGTTGGGGGGTAGCAGGGGTTGATCAATTCTCGTCCAGTAATGTGTGGTGTATGAGTGGGTATTTATAATGGGGGATGAATGGGAAGATAAGGCCAAAAAAAATTAATTTCTTGGTTCTCAGGCCCTTTTTCATCTCTTAAAAGGGTGCCTCATTGACCCTTTTTTATTAGCTCACCTGAGCTGAAAGCTCAAGTGAGCTTTTCTGATCACATTTTGTCCGGCGTCCGTCTGTCTGTCCGTCTGTCTGTCTGTTCTTACGAGAGGTACATTATGGGGTAAAATGAACGTATTTTCCAGCAGTATGGGGTTTTTTTGGTACTGTGGGGTCAACCCCATAATGAAGAGGTCTATTTACGTTCAAAATTACTCTATGAGGTCGAAAAACCTAAAATTAGTTTTAACCTCACAAAGACTTTGTCCAAATTTTGGACATGTCCTAAGCCCAAAACGCTCAGACATTCAGAAATCTGCTGATTAGAGGAGTTCGGTAATTGAATCGAGGAGTTCCGAATACCTGAGCATGCGCATATATTTAAAAACTAACTGCGCATGCGCAGGATACGGAAGTAGCTGCATTTGGCATAGCTTTGAGGAAATTCGGAAACACAAAAAGCAAATGCGGTAAGTCTTACTATTTTGTTGCACTACATTGAAAAAAAGTTTTGTAAGTTGTTTGACATGCTTCATACGTACATTATGCAGTTGTAGAATTTATTTAAAGCCAAGGAAAGGAAATCTGTAGTCCACATAAACACATACCTATTGAAAACCGGCTTTTGTTAAAAAATATATATATATAATGAATGCACTGATAGTTCTTTTTTGAATCAGAGGTCTGCAATGAAAATCGACCGACACCCGGGGGTTGGGCTAGTGGTTTTCTGCAAGTAGGTCGCCCCGTTGGCCAGTAAAAAAGATAATATTATTTATACACATGCAATACATGCAAAGCACAGTTGGTAAGTATTTTCACTCGTTTTTTGCTATAAAAATCCCAACCATTTAAATTTTCCGTATAACATGCTTCAACTGTCAATAAATCTCCATTATTTAATCCGTGTTGGAGTACTACCTGGCTTATTTTCTTCCAAAAACGATCGCGTTTTTTTCTTAATTCGAATTTTCTCTATACTATGGTAAAAACATGCAGATATCTCATAACATAAATACATGTGATTCTTCGAACGGGAGACAAAGTCTCTGGATTTTTCACCCCTCTTCCGCCCCTCCTGATTAATTTTTAAATCTTCAGTGTTTAAATTTTTTCCAATTGAATATTTTTGGCTTTATTTTTATCCTGTTTCGTTGTATTATTGCTCTCTCTCTCTCTCTCTCTCTCTCTCTTTGAATTCATTGTAGATACGTACCAATTGTTTATCTACTCTTCACTCATTTGTTTACATGTACTTGTAATTGTACCTTAATCTATAGAAAGAAAATCAGAATGGAAAATGGAATTAACAATGTCACTGCAAATAAATTTTCACAGCAAGTAGGCTTAAAGCTTCGTAGGAATAAACATGGGGTTGTATAATAAGGTTGTAAAATTCAGTTGTATATCAATTTGATAAATGACAATCAATGTTTAAAAATGAGTGCAGGACATTTTAATCAGTTGTTAAAATACCCAATATGTCACATCTTTTACATGTGCCCGATAATAAAATTCTCGTATTAAAGAAATTAAATTACTTTTAGATACAATTATATAACTCTGTTTGTGTTAATGAAAAAAATATAATTGTCCTGTAAGATCAATTTGTACTTATTTTTTAAGATCGACGATTGAAAATTTAAAAGAATTAAATCACAATTAATAGTTTTTCCATAGCTAAACTTAAAGAAATTCAAGCTTAAAGCTACATTTTGTAATTTACAATATTAATTCATCATAACTTTGAATATTTACAGTGAGAGTATGTGACTTAGCTAATACAGGGCTATCAGTATTTTCACACTTGTTAGATTTTGATTTCGTGTAGAAGCTCTAATTGCAACTCTTGTCAAAACAAATGTTTTGTATAGCATGATTATCTCGTGAATTTCACTATCAGGAGACGATCGATAGGGATTAGTTAAGCTCTACTGCACTTGACACCTGTGTTGTAGTAGAATGATTTTAAACTGCGTAAATATAAATCTTTGGTCAATTGAATAATTTTTGGTGTGTGTCTGTATGTTAGATAGAAATTCTGACAGCTTTATAAAAATAATATTAAAAATTTACCAGACTTTAAAAACTTCAGCAAACTAGTTGATCGAGGATTAATTGAGGGGGGGGGGGGGGGGTAACACTGCTGATCATTACCTGAACATATGATAGTGAAGTTTTTAAATGGATTTTATTGACACTTACTGAAATAATTTTTTATACTTTATTTAATTCACCATTAAACTGTCTTTTTATTAAAGCTTGTGTATTTTTTCTTATTAAAAAATAGATAGTAGTAAGGCACATTTATTTCTTCTTGAGGCCATCATTTGTTTTATTTTTAGGTTTACAAACCCACCGCTCAAGACTTTCAATTTTCAGAAAAAAATAAAATTGAGAAAAACAGATTTTTTTCTTTCCGATGTCAAATTTGAGTCGGGATCGAGATTTCGCATTTACGAACTCGTACTTCCGGTTTTAAAATGAAAATGGTGGTAAATAAAACGTGACCTGATCTGCAAAGTTCATAGTAGAACCATAGCTAGGTTAAATGTAAGAATTTATCGATAGGAGTGCCATTCAAAACGTTTCATCTGTTCAGAGGACAAAAAATGCTGACGACTTTGTAGCACAATGACATGTTGGTGAGAATTATGCATTCGTTTTCATAAGTATGTCTCTGTAAATTATTTTCATCTCACAGATTTAAAATGGGCCGTGGTAGTTATTTATTGACAGAGAAAATGTTTAGGTCTCTGTTATAGCTGAGAGTCCAAGCATGATTCTTTAGAAAAGGGTCGCTTTTGCACCAGATGATCATGTAATGAATTAAATATAATGGCAAAAGTTTATTTGACCAAGAAGAATAGCCTAAAGAAATGAAATGTTTCAATTATTTAAAAAAACAAGTATAATCAAATAAATACAGCCAAGCATGTAGTATCGTTTTGAATGTGGCAGCCAGAAAAATTATTTTACACTCAATTGAAAAAAAAAGAATTCAACCCACTCCTGAATACCCCCTGTCTGTTTTATGATAGGAATTATTATTTTAGGTCTCAAGTATATTTTAGAAAATTAATTTCCACACATTCACCTTACACATATTAAAAACGATGAAGATGTATTGAGTTTTTTAAAAAATGATTTTTTTTAAATCTGTACTTTTTGACCAGCATCACAATGTTTACATAACTGGCCCAAACTGGTAGACAATGAAATAATCAATAAAGGTTCTTTTTGTAGCCATTATGTGTCCAGTGGCAAGGAGCCTCACAGTTGGAAGAGCACAAAAAAAAGAAGCAAAAATGAATGTAGAAAAGTTGATATTTTATCCCAAAATATAATTTTTTTTTTAATTTCCTCCTCCTACGGGACTTTTTCATTTTGATGTTCGTAAACCTAAAAATAAAAAAAATGCTGGCCCGAATTATACTGTAATTCAATTATCACATATTTGAATGTAACAAAAGAACACTTATGAATGTATGAAGTTTAACTGTTTTGTAGGAACAGAAACATGCACAAAACCTTAAAAATTTGGAATTCGTTAATTTGATATTTTTTAAATAAGCATGGATTAATATATATATACACATATACAAAGGTTTTGTGAAATTGACATGTTTAATTAAATCAACTATAGTGGTTATTGCTGTTTATTTATTGACCGACTGGCTACTTCTTGGGCAAACTGGAATAAGAGGCCACCTGTCTTAAGTGGCTAGTTTCCGGACTTCCCAAAGGGGGCCTCTTAAAACAAGTTTGACTGTACTTTTTCACCTTTTACCAATATAAGAAAGTAGTTCATGACAACTATGCTATAAATAAATTTCGATGAATTTTAATTAGTAACTCGGAATTTTTGTATGTGTTATAAATAAACATTTGCTTCTGTATTCCTTTGTAGAGTTTAGATACCACTGAAAGTGAACATCAGTGGAACTTTGATGATCTAGGCCACTCTATTTGTTCCAACAACACCAGCAGGCGTTGGCCATTCATAAAGTTGAAAGAACAAACCTATGACTTGAACACACAATTTGTGATCTGAATATAGTTCACAAATTTAAGGAAAGCAACTATTTAAGACATTCAGATCAATGGTTAGTACATGTTATAAGTGCCAATAAAATCAAGACAACAGTATTATTTTACAATAAATTAAAACATAACCTTTAAAAAAATTCAACATTATCATTTAAAAATATATTTTACTGTATTTTTTTTTGACAGGTATACATGAAGTATGAGTAAAAGACTTTTAAGGACATTGGCAAGTCACGGTTTTTCGGAGAAAAAGGATTTATATCATGGGTTTTTTCTATTATAAAACTCATCGGATCACCTCGCCCTTTTCCGTCGCACACTAGAAAAATTCTAGATACAAAATGAAAACCAACAAAGCGTATTTCATAAAGGTAAACAAAAACGCATGTGCTCCCTACAACACCTGTTCAACGGGTAGAATCATCTCTACAGCAAGAACGAAAAGCGGTGATTGATTTGTTGTATATTATATTCAGGGACAGGCAGTAAACAGTGTTCATCAAGCGCTAGCTGTAATTTGATTTACCGTGGTTATACTGGACAAATCTCGATGTGTCAATTGCTAGTAGCTCCTATAACTGTATAAGATCGTGCTAAGGAAGCAACCTTTAGTAACTGCAAACATATATTAAAAACAAATCCATACCAATGTTTTATGATAATTTGTTTCCAATAAGGTAAATTACATAATTAACGGAAATAGTTGAGC